TCCTTGAGCAGATATCGGGTAAGTCCAACCTTGATTTTACGTTGTCTTTCGTCTTCCTTGGGACATTCAATATAGTGTTCATGATGTTTTTAAAAAAGTTCTTCTCTATATGCATCACATCGAGGTTGTAGCGCAAAAGAAGATCTTTCCAATATGGCAATTCCCAAAATATACTCTTTTGTGCCAATTGTGCTGAACACCATAAGAATCAGGCATATTACTGGGAACATGCCAATTCCCACCACGAGGAGCTGTTTCTAGAGCACAGTAGTAATCGATTTGCGCTTCGATTTGTTCTCCAGTTAAATATGGAGGAGGAGTGTCTCTAACAACCCTTTTGTGCCTGAACAATTTCTTGTTTCTTCGGTATGGGTGGTAAACGGGAAGAAATCGACGGTGACAATCGAACCAACTAGTCTTCCTACCATGCTTCAACTGAAACGCATATGTCATTCCATTACAATATGGACAAGCTAATCTCCCATGTGTAGTCCACCCAGGCAACATACCATATGCAAGAAAGTTACTTATGGTCCACAAAAGCATCGCTCGCATCGTAAAGTTTGTTTTCGTTGAACAATCATATGTCCTCACCCTTGTTGACCACAAATCTTTCAACTCTTTTATCAGTGGTTGTAGAAAATGTCGAGAGATCTTTTTGGATGTTTTGGACTAGGTATTAATATGCTCATGAATAGAAACTCTCGTCGCATGCACATCTCCGGTGGAAGGTTATACGGTGTAAGAAAGACCGGCCACAATGAATATTGTCTCCCAGACATTCCAAATGGACTAAATCCATCAGTGCATAATCCAAGATACACATTCCGGTTATTGCTAGCGAAATGTGGATGTACATTGTTAAAATGTTTCCAGGCTCTTGCATCTGATGGATGAGTCATCTCTCCATCCGTCTGAGTATGCTCGGCGTGCCATCTCATCCCTCCAGCAGTCTCCTCAGATTGGTACAATCTTTTCAATCTGTCTGTGATTGGTAGGTACCACATCCTTTGGTACGGTACCCTATTACGNGGCTCTTGCATCTGATGGATGAGTCATCTCTCCATCCGTCTGAGTATGCTCGGCGTGCCATCTCATCCCTCCAGCAGTCTCCTCAGATTGGTACAATCTTTTCAATCTGTCTGTGATTGGTAGGTACCACATCCTTTGGTACGGTACCCTATTACGCCCTCGACCTTGCGGTTTGAATCGTGGCTTCTTACAAAATCGAAATTCTTCTAACTTCTCATCATCTCCCCAGTAAATCATGCAGTTGTCGATGCAAACGTCTATCATCTCCGAGGGCAACCCAAGACTATATACCAATTTCTGAATCTGATAATAAGATTCAGCAGACACATTGTCTTCTGGTAAACAAGTCTGCCCATGCATCCATACAATTTTCAGGTAGATTGTGATCAGTTTTAATACTCATCATTCTAGCAGCCAACGACAATTTAGACAGACCTTCTCTACAACCACTGTAAATTGGCTCATTCGCAGCATCTAACATTTCATAAAAAAAATTTGCATCTAAGTTAGGTTCTTCAACTTCATCATCATCATGAGTTACAAAGGCATACCTACCGAATCATGAACCCTATCACAATCTACCATTTCTTCCTCTTGGTGATGATAGCTATTTTCATTACGCAGATGATCAACCGATTCAACCTGAAAATTGCTATTACTACTGCTACCTTCATTCCTGCAACTAGCATCGTCTTCTCCATGTTGATACCAAATATAATAATATGGCATGAAACCTCTATTTATTAAATGCTTCCAAACATTTTCACGATGACCTAATTTTGTATTGCAACATTTCCGACAAGGACATAACATCTTACCACTTTCCTGCGTGAGTGGTGTAGAATCTGCTTGATGCATAAACGTCTCCAACCCTACGAGATATTCATTCGTCACTCTCCCGTTATTATCTCTGTGTGAATACATCCACTTCTGCAACTCAAAAATATTTCCCGGACCGGACATTTTTTTTTTGTTTGATCAAGCTTATAGCTGATTACTTTTTGGTGTGTTTCAAATGAATCACAATTGTGGTATTTATAGAAATTTTCGAATCTGAACATTTACTAGGAAATTGCTAGGAAATGTAGGTACAAAACACGTTTTTGATTTAAATTCCATATTTCCTATCCAGTTCCTCCCAATTTCGTAGTAACAAATCTGTTCCTTTTAATTTCGTAGTAACACTTTACTAGGACTTTACGAGGAAACTAACTTACTACGGGCTTACAAGGAAATGTACTACTGCCACGTAATTTCCTCGTAACATTACTACGGTGTTACGAGGAAATATTGTTCTCGTAATTGTACGAGGACCTTACGAGGAAAAATAGTTTCCTCGTAATTTCGAAGTAATTTCGTAATAAATTTACGAGGAGTTATTTTCCTAGTAAAATTTCATAGTAACTTCTTAGTTTTCTTGTAGTGAAAGATCCAAAGATAGTTTTCATTACACTTGAGATGAGCTTTCTTTTATATGATTTTTTTCATCCTTTAGGGCAAGCTGGAAATCTTGCTTAGCCCAAAACTAAGGGTCCAGTGACTCGGCCCACTAGAGAGCCAACTTTTCACCTTGGGTTTGACCGTTTCCCATCCAGTCCACCACTTTAGTCTACTGTTGACTAAGATGATTTTCTGTAATTTCGTTTGGATATCTCGGACAGACATGGCTTTGCTGATCAAACCCAACTTGGTCAATCGGACACGGCTTACTCAATAGCATACGGCCAACACAGCTCAGATCAACTAGATATTGTTGATCCAGAAAACGTATCTTATGTCGACCTGAGGTGGATCTGGTGCAGCGTATGGATGTGTTGAACAGTCGATCAAGTAGTCGAAGATTGTGAGAGACATGTTCTTTGATCAATCAAAAGCTCTTGGGATAGCTTCTTGGAGACTAACTTCTTGCTAGATGAGTTAAACTAAATCGCACAAGGTAATAAGAGAAAGCTCTTGTTTATTAATTATCAAAGACCAGAAAACATAGGAGCCTTAGCTTTGTTTATATAGTCATTGCCTTTAGACAAACCCTTTTAGGAAAATGATAACATAAAATAATATACAAAGGAAATTCAAGAAGAGAAAACCAGAACCAATTCTTGTAAGCTAGAGGACTGATATTGAAATATTAGATTGTTAGCTTGGTTACAGAAAGGAGGATGTTGCTGCATCAGGACTTCCATGTGAGAAGGATTTAATTGTGAATCAGAACCGTTGGCGTCAGATACATAACGAGAAAGATATTTGATGTAAACAAATCAGAAGTATTGATATCAGCTGGGCGACAGAGACGATGGCCCTGCCTTTTATACGTTCCAATACTTCAGTTGGTCCAATCTTCTTAGACTTAAGTTTGTTGTAAGCATGTGTGGGCAGTCAATCCTGAGTGTGATAAACCCACAATAGATCGCCTACATTAAAAACCAAGCGCCGACCTGGAATGGAAAAAATCATGGGACCGTGTGGTATAGTACCATAAATGACCTGGAATGGAAAAAAAATCTTTACTGCGGTTAATAGCATGATTATGGGTGAACTTTGCTTGTGGCAACTTAGAGTCCCAAATCTTGATAGCATCACCCACAAGACATCATAAAAGGTTTCTTACTTTTGTTTCCTTAAGAACGATTTTTTACTTTTATTTGCCCATCAGTTTGAGGATGATACGCCAAACTCATATCAAGTGTAGTTTCTAAAAAGCTTCCATGATGACCACCAAAAATGACTAAAAAGCGTGAATCTCGATCGGGGACAATGGAAAATGGTAATCCATGAGTCACTTAAAATACATCAGATCTCACCAAATAATAATGTAGCCACTTGAACTGCATCAGTTGTCTTCTAACATGGGATGAAGTGGACCATCTTGGAAAACAATCAATAACAACGAAAATAAACCCTTTCGTTTGCGAATATTAAAAATTTGACAAAATGTATTATCTTAAATTATCCGATTTACTTTTAATTATCCATAAAATTCTGAATATTTTTTCTGACATGATCTGAATGATTCGTTATTATCCGTATCAAATAAATATTTGATCTGAATTACCAAAATATTTTTTTGAAGTAACCAAAATATGAATCAAATTAACTGTAATACCCAAGCCAAATCAATGACTATCAGAACCATTTCAAACACAATCTTCCTTTGTTCTTATATGTATCATAAACTTCCTTACCGAATTATCAGATATTTGAAATAATCAACCAAATACAAGAATGCACATGGTTATATGTGAGTATCATTAATTTTTTTCTTAATAAACTTTTGTTGTTGTTTTTTTGTAAGAAAATGTGAATTTTCTTTTTCCTATTATTGGGATTTATCGAGACAAAATATTGCTCGTTACAAATTTTACAGTTTCATTTTAGCTCAGTGATTTTGTTAGCATACTTAAAAATTGGTTGCTGAATGAATCAATTGTTAATGTAAGTAATAAAGATTTATTGGTTCCAAATCCCATAAGAACCATTTTTTTTGTTTTATGCTTTCACTATCATCAGTCACTTTATTTCAGAGATTTTGGGTATTATTTATAATTTTATCTGAGGTTTCCTTACTTGAAATTATTTTCTTCTTCTTTATTATTAGAGTTTTTTCATCAATATTATCTACATAGTATTCAAATCCTAACTTTGAGGCAGAGATAGTTTAACTGATCCATGATAATATAGACACAATATTAACCCTTTTCTTAAATTTGGATGCAAAGATAACTCAATTTTGAAAAACGCTTATACAAGTAGCACTTCAAATTTAGTGTGGCATATTATTTAGTGTTATCCACCAAGAGATGGATTGCACTGAGGATGAAAATGAATAATTCCTTTACGATACATAAAACATTTATTTATATACCACATAATATGTGATATCATATACAACGTACACATTTGATAGAAAGCTTATTTGGCGATCCTTGAAGGAGTTTTACATTGAAACTCGTTATACTAATCGTTTAAGTCTATGGCTGCAAAAGATATGCATATGGAGGAGGAGTGCCATATCCAACTTGTGGAGGGCTATAAATTGGTGTTGGAGGTTTCTGTATTGGTGGTGGTTTTATAGGAGGAATGTAAATTGGGGTCGGAGGCTTAATGGGAGGTGGTTTAAGCGGTGGACTGTAAGTTGGTGTTGGTGGCTTTTGCACGGGTGGAGGTTTAAGAGGTGGACTATAAATTGGTGTTGGAGGCTTCACGGGAGGTGGTTTAATAGGTGGAGTATAGGTTGGTGATGGTGGTTGCTGCACTGGTGGTGGATTCACAGGAGGACTGTAAGTAGGTGTTGGAGGCTTAACTGGAGGTGGTTTAACAGGTGGACTATATGTTGGTGTTGGAGGTTTTTGAACTGGTTGTGGCTTTACAGGAGGACTATAAATAGGTGTTGGTGGCTTTTGCACTGGTGGTGGTTTGATAGGGGGACTGTAAATTGGTGTCGGAGGCTTCTGTATGGGTGGTGGCTTAATAGGTGGACTATAAGTTGGTGTTGGAGGCTTCACCGGAGGTGGATTAATAGGTGGACTATATGTTGGTGTCGGAGGCTGTTGCACTGGTGGTGGCTTTATAGGAGGACTGTAAGTAGGTGTTGGAGGCTTCACCGGAGGTGGTTTAATAGGAGGACTATATATAGGGGTTGGAGGTTTGAGAACTGGTGGTGGCTTTACAGGAGGAGCGTAAGTTGGTGTTGGAGGTTTCACCGGTGGTGACTTCACAGGAGGACTATAGGCTGGCGTTGGAGGCTTTTGCACCGGTGGTGGTTTTATTGGAGGACTGTAAGTTGGAGTTGGAGGCTTCTGAACTGGTGGTGGCTTTACAGGAGGACTATATGTTGGTGTAGGAGGCTTTTGTATTGGTGGAGGCTTAATGGGTGGACTGTAAGTTGGTGTAGGAGGTTTCATCGGTGGTGGTTTAATGGGTGGACTATAAGTTGGTGTTGGAGGCATTTGTATGGGTGGTGGTTTCACGGGGGGACTATAGGTCGGTGTTGGGGGCTTTTGCACTGGTGGTGGTTTAACTGGAGGACTGTAAGTTGGGGTTGGAGGTTTCTGAATCGGTGGTGGCTTGATTGGGGGACTATAGGTTGGTGTTGGAGGCTTTTGCACTGGTGGTGGTTTTACTGGAGGACTGTAAGTTGGGGTTGGGGGCTTCTGAACCGGTGGTGGCTTGACAGGGGGACTGTAGATTGGTGTTGGAGGTTCTTGCACCGGTGGTGGTTTTACCGGAGGACTGTATGTTGGGGTTGGAGGCTTCTCAACCGGTGGTGACTTCACAGGGGGACTATAGGTCGGTGTTGGAGGTTGTTGAACTGGTGGTGGTCTAACCGGAGGGCTGTAAGTTGGGGTCGGGGGTTTATGAACTGGTGGTGGTTTAATAGGAGGACTATAAATTGGTGTAGGAGGTTTTTGAATTGGTGGTGGTTTGACTGGGGGACTATATGTTGGTGTTGGAGGTTTTTGCACTGGAGGTGGCATAACAGGGGGACTGTAAGCTGGTGGTGTTGGTTGGCTTGGTGGAGCACCATATGTCGGTGCTGGAGGTGTGTAACCATAGTTATTGGTCTCATACCTATTAAATTTTTGTTTCACCGTTTCATCTGCAGCGACTAAAGCACCAGTAAGAGAAAGAATGAGTACAAAGAATCTCAAGAAATGTATTAGTGGGACTCTCATCTTGTAAATGACTTACCGTGATCAAAGGATAGTTTACGAGTTTAAATAGTTGAGGAAAGGCTTTACTTGTTGTGAAAACTTTTTTCTACAGGATTTACGGTAAATTAAAGCTCTTTATCTGCTTTCGGCAAGAGCAGTTACGGTTCGTGTCAAGAGACCCTATAATTACTTTGTCCAATTTCAAACTCGTGTAGGATCTCTTTGCTATTGACGTACATTTGTCATGAGATTTGCTTAAAAACTGTTTTGTTCTTATTTGTCTTGACATATTAAGTAGATTCCTTAATGGCAGCTTTAAGTCTTTGTTTTTAGTCTGGAGATGCCTGAAACTAGCTGTATCCTCACTTGCTTGTACATGATTTTGCAAAAGTTCAGATTAGCTGATTTCCCCATTATTAACAGTATCATTTGTCCTCGCCCTTAGTATATTCTTACGTTTGAGAAGCTTTGAATCCTTAGAATTTATAAGACAATAGTTTTTTTTCTCAGCCAATAGTTAAAGAAATATATTTTGATAAAGAAAATCAAGAAAATATGTTAATGTATTTATCGGAAATAGAAAAGAAGACTATGTAACATATAAGATGGTTGTATAGTATGTCATTCCTGATACTGTTTTCAGAGGAATCATATTTTAAAATCAGATTGTAATTTGGTATTCATGAATATTGTTGATATAATGTTAAAGAAATGTCGAAAGAACAAAATATCATTGATGAAGAAGACAAGAGAATTGTACCAGTTGTTAGATAACTCGCATTCTCTCTACTATGCATCACTTCTTTAGGGGTGTTCTGCCGACTGAGGATATCTAGGAACCAAAATCATAATCCCAGATTCCTTGCGGGAAAGCCTTAACAGTTCATATCATATATGTCTCGTTCGCATGCTTACGCGTGCAGGTTTTGCTTTTGTCTATCTACAATGAAGGTGTGAACTATGGTTTTCTTATTTATTTTTTTTAGATTAAGGTGTATACTCAATAATAAAGGTTTAGGTGTGTGTTTTTTTTTTCTTTATTTGAGTGTTACCACTCCTATAAAGTAAATTTAGAATTTAATTAAAAAAAAAAGTAAATTTAGAAACATTCGCTAATGGCCAAATTTTAGTTAGAAAAACAAATTAAAATGGCCTGTTTTTTCTTTTTAATGTAATTTGGCTCCGCATTTCTATTATAGAAGATTAAAAGAGATATTTCTTTTAGTTCAACCCAAAACTTCTGAGATTTCTATTTTCTGCATCGGAAATTAACTAGACTAAAATAAAACTTTGAGCAAAAACATGGTTATATCATAAAACAAATCTCTCTAGCATTATTTGTAAAAAAAGAAGAAAATTGGAATTCTGACAAAAAAATATCATAAATCTATAGACGTATCTAAGCATCTCAAGTGTTATCCATGCACCATTTTATTCATGAGCTCGCTTTTCAGACACACCATCGACTGTCGTAATCTGCATGTTGCGGAGGTATTCCAAGTGTAGTTCTATATTGGTATAGAGGGTATCAAAACTTGTATGGAAGTTAGTGTTACGTTTCAGATCAAATAAGGAATTCTATATTGTGGTTATGGTCCTATGGAGTAAATTTGGTGTTTCTTGATAACATCCCCTATATATTAATCTTGGAACATTACAACATTTAAGTGTAGTCACGTATTATCACTAGGATTACTCACAAAAAAAAAAGATTACTCTCATAAATCCTTAGAAAAAGATATTGGTCCATATAAATATAAAGTATACTTTTATTAAATTCGCTATCAAAATGATTTATAGTGCATAAAGAATATTCTTGATTCATTCCTTAAGTAAAAGCTACGTAATTACCTTATATGATTAACATATATATATAACAATTAATGATTTTAAATAATAAATATTTGATAATAATTTTTGTATCCTCCATCATTTTTGTTTAATTTATACTATTAAAACAAATCACATTAACCATATAATAAAAAAAAAATTCTTATATGATGTATTTAATTTTTTTAAACGACTACAAATTACTAAACTGTTAAAAATCTTATAATGAAAATTTTGTGAACAACTATTTTACTTTTATGTTATAAAAATATACAAATGATATTAAAATCATGAATATGAATTATCATTTAATAGATACTCAAATTGTATATATATATATATATATATATATAAATATATATACTTTAATATCCTTTAAATTAAACTACACACCATATAAAAATACATATATGTTAATTTCAGAATTTAATTGAAAAAGTATTGCGACCTGAATATTTTTAATTTTTAAATTTATATTGAATCTTTTAAATGATTTTAAATTACTAGAATTAAAAAAAAATCTCACATTAAAATTTCTGTAATTAATAGTTTATTTTTTTGTTACATCAAATATATAAATGTTAATAAAAACATATGAATATGAAATAAAAGCTTCAATTAAATATTCCTATTAAAATATACTATATTTCCTTGTCAATATCATTTAAATTTAATTATATACCATATAAAATAAAAACAATAATTGTTTTGATTTATTTACTTGATTTAAGTGCTTACTCAAGTTTAGTTATGTACATAATATTTACTCGCTACTCAATTATTGAATATATATATATATATTTCTTAATACATAAATGACATAATAATAATAATAATAATAACAATAATAATAATATGTAAAAATAGTTTGCTTACAAAATTGTAATCTCGTGCAATGCACATGTCTCTATTGATGTATTATATTCGAATTTTTTTCTCAATACATCGAAGCTCATGTTTTCCGAGAAATCTTGCATGAAATTAAAACAAAGACAAAAAAATGTGAATTAACAAAAATACCATCGTAAAGCACAAATATTCTAGATTTAAACAAGAAATCACCACTTTTAATGTTTGTCCTTCCTATATCTAATAAAAAGTGGATTGGGAATAGTTTTTTTCTGATGTATTGTTTCATCCCCAATGTTTAATTAATTGAGGTTTTATGAAACCAGTTTATCAACATCTTGGCTCGATACGTAGGGCCAGCTAATTAGTGGGGACAAACGGTGCGATCGCTCCGGGTCCAAACCTGTGTCCCCCGTATATAAATAATTAAGGGACTGACCTTTTTTATAAATAAATAAATATATATATATATATATATATTATATATAAAAATAAACTTTTGATAAATAAAATTGAAAAGAGACCCTTAATAGTATTTTATATGTGTATAATTTTATTTTCATTATATAATGTACAGAATATTACTGATAAAATTGTAAAACATTTTAAATATAAAATTTAAAAGTTAAAAAAAAAAAATTTGCCCTAAGGCCCATGCGGCTCTGCCGATACGCAGCATTATATAGTATAGGTCCACAACATATAACAGTTTTTTGGACTTCTGATACGTTGTAGTTGTTATAAAAAACAAAATTAATATGACAATTGTTAGTAATTAAAATTCATCCCGCACACGTGCGCGGGTTATCAACTAATTTATTTGGTAAAACGTAACCTTTTATATAAGTTAATGTCTTACATCATAATACAAGAAGTTATTTTGGTCTAGCGATTAAGATGCTCTTCTTTGTCCACCAGTGCATGAGTTTAAGTCTCCCAAACAACCAATTTTTAATTTTATATAATTTATCCAAAATGATGATAGATTAACTGTTAACTAACACCTTTATGGTTAATATATAGGTATGCTTTTGAAAGTCTATGTAGTTTTTCTTGAATTTTTATTTAGTTCAATATGAAATATGCACTAATACAAACTCTGTGAAAAAAATACACGACGAGTAAAATTCATGTTAATATAGACCATTTTTCCCTTTGATTACAAGGTTGTTGAGAGTTGACAAGCTTAACTAGATAAATATAGCTACTCAAATGTAGAAAGCCTTTGAGAAAGACCACGAACCTAAGTCTCAGTGAATCCACACAAGACACACATATTCAGCTTGCTTTCTACTCTAGGAATCCACCCAAGTATAGAAAACAAAGTAATGAAACAGACAGATTCAAGAGAAATTAAACTGGATAGTTTTGTTTTTAAATGATGAAAAAGAAGTGTCTTATTACAAAAACAAACTAAGAGAACTTATAAACAATACAAGAAAACTGTCGGATACTGATGAAAAAACTGTCATTTAGTCGGGAAACAATGCTTCCAATGGAATCCTAATGAAAGTGGCCGTTGGTATCCGTCAGGTATACGTGAGTTCAAGAAGAAGAAGAAACCCCTCCGATTGAACGAGCCAATCCAAGATAACGGCTTTCTTTCTTTGGAACAACCTGAATGAGAAATAACATAAGTTAAAATAGTAATCACATATATACACATATAAAGCAAAAAGAAATTAGAGTGTACCTCGAGAACAAGGTTGTTGAGTTGCTCCACGTTAAGGTGTTAGAAGGAGCAGAAGATCCATCTTCACACATAGAAGCCTGAGTGGAACGGACATCTTCTTTCGGCTCTCCACGAGCTGGATTATGTCCATCATAACTAGATCCTGAATCTCACCAGTTTTTTTTGGTGTAGGCGGACTTCATCAGCACAAAACCATCGACGGGAACTCTGCCGTTCTCCTTCATCTAAAAATAATACAAATCACGTAGCTGTTGGAGCTTAATAAAGTAGCCGTTGCAAAATAAATGGTCTAAGACTCTAAGAGCATCTTTAGTGGATAGTATCTTCCAAAACATATTTTGTCATTATCATATTAGTTATTTAAAATAATTTTATTTGTTATTTAATTTTATTTTAAAAACATAACTAAATCAATAATAAAGTGACACATAGTTCAAAAATCTCTTTTAAGTTAAATATACGTCTCTCTGCCTATATCATCTCTCATCTTTTTTACTATCTCTCACCTAATTTTTCTTTTTTTATTAATAAAAATCTGTTGAGGTACTCATTTTTCTTACCCAGTGTGGGTACACTAAGGACATGATTAACCCTCGTTTCTTAGTCAAAGGTTTTTAACTCATGATTTGACAATTTTTTTATATATTTT